GCGACGATGCATAGCCCTTCGTAACTCGCCCTACTATGTGTGCATTGGAACCCGTTGTTTGCATGTTGGTTTGATGGTTGTCGAGGGTTGGACTCGTGTGTCGTGTCATTTTCCCCTACTTGGTTTTGGCAATGTCTTCATTACCGAGTGGAATGCCTCTATGGAATCTTGAAACTGCCATAAATCTTTTGTTGATTCCTAACTAGCTTTTTCTTATGGCACTCCCTTCCACTTGACTAAGTATTGGTGTTGCAGCATATAGTTCTTTTGCACCACACCCTTTTGGCGAGAATGATTGCCACCTCTTTCTTATATGCTGAGTGTACACTTACAAGTGCTCTTTTACTTTGTTTGCAACTTAAATCCTCTTTGTTTACATTATATGGTTTCAACATACTTACATGAAAGACCGGATGGACTTTTGGCTTAGATGGCATATCTAGTTTGTATGCCATGGGACCAATGTGTTTAGTCACTTTGTAAGGCACTCATATAGTCTTAATAGTCCCTTTTGGAGTCTTTTGTCTTTGAGTACGATGTGTAGTTTAACGAGTACCAAGTCTACAACATCGAAAGTAACTTCTTTTCGAGACTAATGAACCCATTTCATGGTGAGGTTGGTAGCCTTTAGCAAGCACGAGCAAGGTCGAGCTGTTCTTGCCATTTGCTCTCGTGCTTGTAAACTGTAGGTGATTCACCTGTGTATCTATCAGCAATGTGCCTCGACGTAAGAGGCTGTTGTCCAGTTACTATCTCGAATGGACTTTTCCCTATTGCTTCAATATGGTGTTGATTATGAGAAAACTGAGCGATATCTAGCCATTTTGGCTAGTTAGTTTAGGTGGCTTGAATGAAGTGTCGTACGTAAGTCTCTAGCGTTGCATTGACCATTTCGATCTGACCATTCGATTGTGGATAAAAACTAGTCGAGAAATTAAGTTGAGATCCCATCATCTTGAACAACTACCAAAATTTATTTGTGAAGTGTGCGTCTATATCGTTCACTATGCTTAATAGAACCCCCCAGTACTTGATAACGTTTGTCATGAAGAGTTTAGCTGCTTCCGTTGCTGGACACTCAAGACTTGTGGCCATGAATATTGCATATTTCGAGAAATGGTCCATGATGACCATGATGCTTCCCAATCCATTCACTTTAGGAACTTTTATGATGAAGTCCATGCTCAAACTTTCCCATGGTTGATTCAAAATCGGTAGTGGTTGAAGTAACCCTATGAATTTCCATTGTTTTGACTTGTCTTGTTGTTGGCAGGCGAGACATGTTCATATATATGTCTCCATTTCCTCACATAACTGTGGCCAGTAGTACCTTAGTTTTACTAGTGCTAGTGTTTGGTGCATTTCTGGATGTCCGACCTAAGTCAAGTCATGACATTGGTTGAGTATCTCTTTTTGAAGCTTGCCATAGGATCGCACATAAAGCCTCAAACCCTTGCTATATAATAGCTCATCTTGAACCCAAAATCTCCGCATCCTTCCTTCCTTGACATAGTCTATCAATATTTGTGCTACCATGTCATGTGATAGCCATTCTTTAATGCACGACATGAGAACTCCCTGAGCTTTGCTCACAACCGCTAGTGTGGCCTTACGACTAAGTGCGTTCACCATTGAGTTGGTTCTTCCTGACCTATACTCGAATCAATAATCAAATTTTGCCAAGAAATCTTGCCACTGTGCTTGTTTAGGGCTCAATTTCTTTTAGTTCTGAATGTGGCTACATTGTCTGTCATAACCACAAAAGGAGCTTCGAAAAGATAATGTCTCCATGTTGGAAAATAATGTACTATGACAATCATCTTTTTCTCTTGGACTGTTACCTTTTCTCTGTGTCGTTGAGCTTACGGCTTTTGTAAGCCACAAGATGTCTTTTTGCATTAACACTCTTCCTATAGCGAAGTTTGAAGCGTCTGTGTGGACCTTGTACGATTTGGTGTGGTCTGGTAAGGCTAAGACCTATTCTACACACATTGTCTACTTTAGGGCATCGAAGGCTTGTTGACTTTATGTGCTCCACTTCCAAGTGATTCCTTTCTTTAGCATGTCAGTGAGTGGTGTAGCGATTGCAGAGTAACCCTTGACAAATCTCTTGTAGTAGTTTGAAAGACCTAGGAATGATCTCAATTTTGTTACCTTTGTGGGCGGTTCCCACTCTAAGATAGCCTTGACTTTGCTCGGATCCATTCGTATAGCTCCAGCTCCAACGATGTGTCTCAAGAAAGGGATTTTTTGCATCTCAAAGGAACACTTCTCCTTTTTGACATAAAGCTCATGTTACTTTAGCTTCTCCATTTCGAGTTTAATATATTGCACACGTTCCCCCAACTTCTTGGAGTATATCACAATATCATCTAAGTAAACAATCACAAACTTATTGAGGAAGGGTTGAAGTACCTTGTTCATTAGGGTGCAAAACATTGCTGGTGCGTTTGTTAGATAGAATGGCATGATGAGAAATTCATGTGATCCGTAATGTGTCACACATGCTATTTTTGGTACATCCTCCTTTGCAATGCATACCTAGTAATATCTATATCACAAATCTAGCTTGGTGAACCATTTGGATCCACCTAATTGATCGAACAAGTCCATGATGAGTGGGATCGGATACTTGTTCTTGATTGTGAGCTTATTCAACACTCGATAGTCGATGCATAAATGTATGGTGACTTAGATGGCTGAATGAACCCTAGATCGAGGAGTTCACCTAGTTATTTCTTGAGTTCAGTAAGCTTAGGTGGCGACACACAATACGACACATGTGCTGGTGGGTGTGTGTTGAGCATTGAATTTATGTGATCGTCAATTTCCCTTTGTGGTGGTAGTCTGATCAGTAGATTGGCGGGCATCACATCCCTAAAAGTTTCCAACATCTCCAATACCTTTGTTGGTGCCTTCGTGTGTTTAGTAGCCTAGTTCTCCTCCTTGAGAATAGCGGCAAAAGTTTTCCCCTGGAACTTTGCCCTTTTTGCTAGTTGCATGGTCGAGAGTAGCTTTGATTCAGACCTACGTGTACGTCGAGCTAGTACTGCACACTGAATCCTTGAGTCAAATATGATGATAAAATTGGCAAACGGTATGAGCAATTCATTGATTTGATCTAGGAATTCCATACCTAAGACGCATTCATAATCATCCATAGGGATAATCTAGACAAGTTCTTTTCCTTGCCAAACGCTTGATTGTACCTTTATCTTTTTACCCCCTAGAGTCAAAAATCGCTTCTAGTTAACTGTCTTGATGTAGCCTACTCTCGTATCAAGTTTGACTTTTTGTTGTTTGGCAGCATCATTTGACAAGAACAGATCTGAGGCTCCAGTATCGACTAATGCCTCTTTTTTTTATCCATTAATCTTAATGTCGATAAACATGAGATCCTGTCTTCAAGCGAATCTCTTCTGTTGGATTGCGCCTAGCACTATTGATCCTAGCTTCTTGGCTTTTGGATCGTTCTCATTCTCTTCGTGAGTGATGGCCACAAGTTTGGCCCTTTGTGGACATTCGCTGACCTAGTGTGGTCCTCTACAAAGAAAACACGACTTTGATGGTTCTTTTTTGTCCTTAAATGTAGCTTTTGCGACAATTGGCTTCTTGTAGTCGCTACTCTTACCTTTAGAATACTGTTCCCTATCTCAAGTGTTCTTCCCCTTATCTTAGGCCCTGGTACGATTAGAGGATTCTTTTTCAGATCCACTAAAGATTTGGTAGCACTCATGTCCTTGGTAATATTCTTCACATTTTGCCTCTAAAGTTCTAGTTTGGCCCATGGTTTGAGTCTATCCTTGAACGAGAAAAGTGCTTCCCTTTTGCCAAATTTGTTGATCTATGATAAAAGTTTAGAGAATTGTTTGACATACTCCCTGATCTCACTGTGTTGAGACAGTCTCTTAAGCTTTCCACAGGCTTCGTCATCCGTATACTCAGGATAAAACTGTTTTCGTAATTCTTTCTGAAATTCCTCCCAAGTCATGATGTGAGCTCCCCCGAGCTTAGCATCGCATTGTTGCCTCATCCACAATAAAGCAATATCGGTCAAATACATGGCAGTTGTATTGACCTTTACGGTGTGGTTCGTTATGCGCATAGCCTTGAAGTACTACTCAACTCCCAAAAGGAAATTGTCAGACTTCCTTGGCTTCCTACTCGCCTTGAAAGTCCTTGGGTTTTAGTACCTACAATGTGGTACTTGTTGATGCGTTAAGCCCGTCTCTTGGTGTGACTGCCTTTAGAGATGTGATCTTGTCTCAAAGTTCAATAATCTCTTGCCGCATGGCTAAAATTAACTCTTCCAATGCGCTGTCACAATGAGTTAATGTCTTTACCGCATTGTTTATGTGCTCTCATAAGTCAATGTCATTTGTCTCCACTTGCTTCGTCTTGGTCTCGATCTCGTTAAGTTTGTCTTGAGTTTCTCCCATGAAAACTTCAATCCTGATGACTCGACTTTCTAGTGTAGATATAGCATCCTTGGACTTGCCTCTCTTAACAGTAGCTCTTGTTTCCCTGTCTTCTTGATTTACAGTAGATTGTTCAGCAGTTGACCCTATCTCTCTCTCAATCTTCAAACCGTGTAATACCTAGCTTTAAAAAGTGTTACTCTAATACCATCTGTCATGAGCTTGAAACTTTAATCAAGTTTCGTGCGACCTTGTAATCTTGTGTTTATAAGACTAAGCAAGCCTAAACGAGATTTCTTGACGATTGATGCAAAAATATAAAGTAAGTAAATATGAAAAAAAAAATTAGAGAGAATAAACAAGAATTATTACTCTAAAGAGAAAAAAATAAAGTACCTAAGATTTAAGAGCATAATAATAAAAAGTATTCCTTTCCTTAAAAAAAATTTATTTAAAGATAAATGATAAATTTGATTCATCTGATAAATTTGATTAATCTTTTTAAATAAAATAATAATTTAGACATTATCATATAATAAATATATTAAATAAAAAAATAAAAGCAAAATCCGCCGACCAAAACCGAAGACAAATATTCCGTCAGGCACTTCATTTTGACCATTGTCAAAGCGCACTCCTCCTTGTCCGTCAGGTTCCCGCGAAAAGAATTGACAATCGAAACCCATCCCTTCTTTTCCTCTAATTTTTCCGCCCATCCAAACAGAAGCGCCGTCGCCTCAGACGCTAACCAAGGCGGAGCTTCATGACTCTCGACCTACTACATGATCATAGTTACTCCTCATATTTTATCAGCGGTAAGTGAAAGTTTCACCAGTCATTATTTTCCTTTTTTTTTTGTTAAAAAAATTACGTATTTAAATCAGTAAATAGTGTGTGGGAAATTTAGGTTATGGTTTTACGTTTTACATTTTGCTTTTCTTTTTTCTGCACAAAATGAATAGAAAGGGTTAATCAGAAAAATAACAAATGAATAGAAAACCAAAGAAAAATAGCAACATAAAAAAAAAAAAGGTATCAACGATCGAAAACTAACCCTATCCTGTTCGTGAGGCCTCCAATAATCGAAGCTCGTCATCCTATTACTTGATGGTTTCCTGACTACCAGCAGTAGTCCGGCATCTTTGTCCAGGGTGTTTTGATTAGTTGGGAGGCATGCATTGAGTTGTTTTAATGAGTATTTGATCGGGATAGAGCTGTAAAAGAAAGGTCTTGCGCAAGATTTACTGTACCTTTCTTTAATTTTAGCCATGTTTTCTTTTCTAGTTGAGTATATGGACTGCTTCCCTTTTACTGAATTTAAATGGACAGGAAGCTACAACAACAGATACCTATGGGCTATGGCTGCCCTTTTGTAATAATATGATTGAGATACTGAGTCACATTTGTTGTCATGACTTATTATAAAAAATGAAAACGGTTTAGAAGGGCTTAAATTACTTACTTATTATACACTTATCACATTTTAATTTTGTGCAGTATGTTTGCGTGACAAGGTTGTTGTTTTGCTCAAACAATATCTCCTACGCTAACCTGTTTATATGATTATATCATTGATGATTGGAACTGAAAATATGAGTTACTTCAAGTTTTCCTAAAGTCAGAAGCACCTAAGTTGCCAAAAGCCTTTCAGTAATTTTCTTCGTGGCTTGATTGTTGGAACTTAGAGAACCTGTTTAAATAAAGTGAAGCATAACATCTTGTCACCTTTTTTTTCCCCATTATGTGGACTTCTCCATGGTGGAGGCAAAGATCTCTGATATTTTAACCTGTTGGAGCTGTCAGTTAACTCTTAGATTATGAACTGTAGAGAAGGAAATTTTCTCTTTGTTTCTTGTCTTACTATCTACTGATGAGAAGAAGAAAATAGCACATCACATTATGCTTTCTTTGTGTTCTTTGATTTTGCTTGCCTTCAAATAGGATTTTGGTGATGAAGGATTTAAATCTCCTAACTAAGTTGTATAAAAAACACTACTTTTGTAGGCAGGATCCCTTTGTTTGGCAGGCTTAAGGTGATGGTCACCAGATTACAGGTATGAGGGTTGCATACCCACATACAAAAAAATCAAGTGTAGCCTAACTTCTTATTTTTCGGTTTTTGCTTCTCATTTATTGGGAGTCTTGTCAGAAAATAAATTGATATGAAGCCGTAAGTTCTGTGTTATACTCTTAAAATTGACTTCATAACAGGCTCTGATGCTCCAATATTTCAACTTGTAATATACGAAATAGAAAGAAAATGGTAGGGGGCATTTTGAGAATCAAACCTGGGGTCAGATTTCTTTCTCCTAATGTGACAATTTTACTACTAGATTAGATGCCTATATATTGATGCTTATCATGGGCTTTTTTTTTTTAATTTTTATTATTAGCTCTTTTCTTTAAGGTTCAATGACTAAACCTAAGAGGGCTAGTGCTTTTATTGTCTCTCACTTTTTGATGTGGTTGAAGGTATTATTGTTGCCAGAGTAGGACTCAAAGCATTTTAAGCAGCATTTGGACTTTGTTTTGATTGAAGCTTTTTTAATCTATTTTAGTATTGATGCTGGTTTAAGCTTCATAATTCAGGATATGCACCAAGTGGAAGAAAAAAATTTGTTGGTTATGTATTTCTGGTATATACACAGTTTTATTTATGTATTGATGACTTATCTGTCTAAGCAGTAACTAGATTGTTAGCCAGTTGTTTTGCTGTTGGAATACTTACTTAGTACTTAAAAGAATGGTTCAAAGATGAGCTTACTGAACAATTAGTCAGTTATGCAACAATCTGATTACAAATGTTATGTGTAAAAGACCTTTTGTTTTTAGGGCTCTGCAAGTTGAATGCTAAAGTCTTCTATGCATACCAGAGGTGAAGGTGCTTGCTAAAGTCATTTGCTAGTTCTACTTACTTAATAAGGAGCTAGGGATTTTGAGAATTGAACTTGGGACATCTCACACCCAAAGCGAGAATCACACCACTAGGCCAAATGCCCAGTTTTCTATGTTTATAATGTTCTAATTTCTAATTATCAGCTTTTCTCTTAAAGGTCCTCTTTAACTTTTTATGGACTCATCTGCAGAGAACTAATGTTTTATGTCTTGCTTTTGATGTGGTTTCCAGATATCATTTCCTTGCTAGAGTAGTGTTCCGAAGGCTTTAATAATATTATCTGGACCTTGGTTTGTTAGAACTTTTGCCTATGCTTAGCATTGATGTTGGGTATAGTTCAGAATTCAGGATATGGACCAACTAGAAAACAGATACAGATTATGAATATTCTGGAATTAATGCACTTTTACATGTTTATATTTTTGATAATTTATTGTCTTTCTTACAAGTTAATATAATGTTATCAAGTTGTGTTATGCTGTTATCATACTTAGCTTAGTACTGACAGATAAGCTTAGAGGACAATCAGGCATTTGTGCAACAACCTAATTGCAAAATGTCATCTTCTAATAATCTTTTGTATTTGGGCTCTGCAGGCTGAATGAAAAATTCTTCTATTGGTAGAAGATGTGAGATGAGATGTTGCTGTTACCTAGGTTAGCTGCTAAAGCCCTTCGGTAATTTTTCTAAGGACCTAGAAATGAATCCCACATTCGCCATGGTCGGGGGAGCTACCCCACTGTGTCTAGCTCAGTCATTGCTAAAAAAAAATGAGTCTTGTGTTGACAAAAATGCATATATGAGTCTCACACAGTGAAAAGAAAGGGAAAAAAATGGTTAACTTTTTTATTTAGTAATTGTGCTTCCTTCAAGTAGGTTGTTGATTAAGTATAAACCTGCTATTGAAATATATGTTTACTACAAGCTTGTGTGGTGCCCTTCTTTGGCAGCGTAATGCTAGAAAGAAAATTTTCCCTAGTACTTTGAGATCTCAGGTATGAAAGTAGCTTGCTCACATAAAAGAACCATACAATCAGCTTTATTGTTAATTTTGTTTTTTTTTTGTTTGCAATTTATTACCGGAAACTCTGGTCAGAGAAAATTAACACTTGAAAGCTTACTTCAGGCCAGATTCCCTGACCAAATATTTCAAAAATTGTAGTACAGGATACTATAAAGAAACAATGGCTGGGGCATTCCGAGAATCGAACTCGGGACCTCTCGCACCCAAAGCGAGAATCATACCACTAGACCAAATGCCCAGTTGATAGCTATGGGGTATTTTTAATATAATTATGAGGTATTTTCTCCAAGGATTCCTGCTAATGTTAAGTAACTGGAATCATCCCAAGAGCATCAATGTTTTATTTGCTAGAGTGGGGTGCTAGAGGCTTGTAAATTGGATTTAGACTTGAGCTTTGGTTGAAGCTTTTTGCCATTATTAAATATTGATGATGGTTTATACTACGTAATTCGGGTTATGGATCACTAAGAAAACCAGACAGTTATGGGTGATGAATATTAGACAATTATGCATTCTTTCCTTAGTTTAATGATTAAGTCTAGATTGTTTTGTGGCCTGTTTCTGCTATAGAAATACATGGTTAAGTGCTTCAAAATGATTAAAAGATTGGCATGCAGGACAATTAACTATGCAGGAATCTTATGCAAAATGCCATGTCCTAGTAACCGTTTCTCTATGGGGCCTGCAAGATGAGCATTAAAATCTTCCAATCATACAAGTGGAGCTAACGGCTTCAGAGGGTAAAGTTCATTCGGCAATTGTTCTCACCTTGGTTCTTATCCTGGCTTCACTATGAGTTGGAGGAGTATGGTTGCAAGGGCAGAGGCTTAAGGAGAGGAAAGTTCTATTCCACAGTCTGTAGCTTGCCCATTGAGTCAGAATGATAAACAAAAACTTCTCATCTGGAGGCAGAAAATTTATTTTCTATTTGCCAATTTTGCTTATCTTTTATTTGTGTTTTTTTTTTAATTAAGTTTTTTAACCTGTTCTTCAGAACTATGTTCATTCCATTGTTTTGTGTGGCCCTTTATTTTTCAGGGTTAAGGCAAATTTCCTTTTTCTAATGACTGCAGTTGCAGGTATGTCATTAGCTTGCCCACATGCAAAAATAGCATATGCACCTTATTTATTTATTATTTAATTTTGGAACTTATTTTAAGGAATTTGTCAGAAAATGGACCAATCTGAAGTTGATAAATTTCTTTTTTATACTCTTCTGGTTGACTTTTAATCAGATTCATCAGATAAAAATTTTCAAGGTATAGGGAACAGAAAAAGATGCAAGGGAGAGGGGCATTCCAAGGATTGAACTTGGGACCTCTTGCACCTAAAGCGAGAATCATACCACTAAACTAAATGTCCACTTTCTGATATCAAATTTCTAATCAGTTAGCTCTTTTTCTCCTTGGATTTATGTTAAATTCAATGGCACATCTCAAGAGGACTGAGGTTTTGCACTCTCTCTTTATGCTTGTATTATTTTCTTGCTATGGTGGGTGCCAGAGGCTTTCAAAATTTGATTTCTACTACAATATTGATACTGGTTGATACTTCTTAATTCAGAATATTGATCAACTAGAAGCCTAAACATCCATGGGGTTATGATTGTCCTAGAGTTTTTTTTTTTCTTTTTTTCTTTTTGATGAAATATGTGACCCTGAAAACATACTTTGCAAGTTATAATGCTGTAAGAATATTTATATTAAACCGCAAAAATGGTTGAAAAGGAGCCTAGACAACAGTTAGGCAGTTTATGGCCCAAAGAAAAAAAAAATTAGGCAGCTCTGCATAAACCGGATCACAAGATAAAATGTCATAATAACATGTTTTTTGTGGGGCCTTTCAGGTTGAATGCAAAAATATTTTATTGATATGAGAGGTGCTGATTAGTTTGGCCAGTAAGGTTTTTGGTGGTTGAATTCTTCCTTCAACGTGGAAAGGGAGTGGGGAGATGGGAGGAGAAATATAGGGAAGGGGAAAGCTAATCCCATGTGTTTTAGCCTGGCCATTAGATCAAGATCAAAGAAAAGCAGCAGTCTTGAATTGATAGAAAAGATGAAAACTCACTGAGACAAGGAAAATGTATTTGGCTTTTCTAGTCACTGATTTTGCTTGCCTATAAATAAGAATTGTCAGTTAAGTATTTTCATCTGCTCTTCAAATGTGTAGATTCTATGTGTACTTGGTGCCCTTTGCCTGGCAGGTTTAAGGCGGATTTCTTGTTTTTCTTATGACTATGAGATTAAAGGTACGAGGATAGCTTGTTCTCCTTGAAAGTAGCACAACTTTTAATATTTTTTTTATTTTAAAATTTTCAATTCACTACTGAGGAATCTTAAGAAAACAAATGAATCTGAAGTTAAATAAGCTTCTAATTATGCTTTTGAAGTTAAGCTCAGGGCCAGTATAGGAACTAAAAAGGAACAAGGAATACGGCATTCTGAGATTCAAACTCAGGACCTTTCACACCCTAAGCGAGAATCACACCACTAGACCAAATGCCCAATTTTTAATGTTTATCATGTTTAATTTTTATTTATTCTTGATCTGATAAACAGATTTTTGTTAATTTTTGTAGGACTTGTCGCAAGAGGAGCAATGCTTTCTGGTCTTTCACATTGAATGCAGTTCAATGTATCATACTGCTGCTGAAGTGGGATGCCAGGGGGTCTTAAAAATGCATTCCAACTTTGGGTTTGATTGAAGCTATTTTTTTCTAAGGACAGTAGTGTTGGTTAATTGCTTGTCCTTTTCTGTCCATATATTTTTGCTTGCCTGTAAATAGTTATTGGTTAAATATTATTGCCTGCTCTTGAAGTTTATATGCATTCTGTATATTTGTTCCATTTTGTTTCGCAGGTTTGAGGCAGATTTCAATTTTCTGATGGCTACAAGATTAAAGGTATGATGATGATAGCTTGCTGACCTTGAGAATAGTACCTTTTTTAATTTTTTTATTTTTGCATGTCACTGCTGAGGTATCTTGTGAGAAAACAACTGAATATAAACTTAACAAACTTCTAATTATACATTTAAAGTTGACTTAGTCCAGATTAAGTATTTGAAATTGCAGTATAGGGAATTAAAAAGAAACAAGGGATGGGGCATTCCGAGAATCGAACTCGGGACCTCTCGCACCCAAAGCGAGAATCAT